ATATGTTGAAATTAGTACAGTTTAAATATCTGTTTTCAATTTTTATATATTTTAAAATGTAATTTATATCTGTTCAGTGTCACATGATCCTTCAGAAATCATTCTAATATTCTGATTTAGAAACATTTCTATTATCAATGTTGAAAACATTTGTGCTGCTTCATGTTTTTGTGGAAACCATGATAAATTTTTTTTTTTTTTTTACAAAATTCAAAAGAACAGCATTTATTTGAAATAGAAATATTTTGTAACATTATCAATGTCTTTACTGTCACTTTTTCGATCAATTAAGGCCCCGTCCACACGGAGACGCGTTTAGCTGCATACGCATACATTTTGTATGATATAGGCGTTTCGTCCAGATGGATCCAGTTTTGGGAGTGTGAAACCAATATTTTTTGAAACCGGGTCCCAGAGTGGATAAATCTGAAAACGACGCCCTTGCGTTTTCGTGTGTACAGCGAATCCGTATATTTTCTGAAACGATGATGTCATCACATCTCGCCCCTAGTCAGACACCGCTACGTCACGTAACAACAACATGAACAAACACTGAACGATTGTCTTTTTATTAAAGGGGTCATAGGATGCCCATTTTCCACAAGTTGATATGATTCTTTAGGGTCTTAATGAAAAGTCTGTAACATAGTTTGGTAAAAATTTCTCAATGGTAGTGTAAAAAACACCTTTTTTTACCGTCAAAGACAGTTCTTTTCAGATCAAGCCGTTTTTGTAGCATTTTCCTTTAAATGTTAATGAGCTATGTTAATAAATCTGCAAAAATGTCAACAATTCTGTGTTTTTCTGTCAATATGGGGTGCTGTGTGTACATTAATGAGGGAAAAAAATTAACTTAAATGATTTTAGCAAATGGCTGCAATATAACAGAGTGAAAAATTTAAGGGGGTCTGAATACTTTCCGTACCCACTGTATATATATATATATATATCTTAAATGTACTGTTCTGCTGTGCATTTTAGACGATAAATGCATGCCGATTTTGTTTGGTGCTTGGAAATACCACTGTGAATGGAGAGTGTTTTGAAATTAAATATTCAAAATTTATCCAGATTAATGTGAGATCTTAAAGGGGTCATAGGATGCCCATTTTCCACAAGTTGATATGATTCTTTGGGGTCTTAATGAAAAGTCTGTAACATAGTTTGGTTAAAATTTCTCAATGGTAGTGTAAAAAACACCTTTTTTTACCGTCAAAGACAGTTCTTTTCAGATCAAGCCGTTTTTGTAGCATTTTCCTTTAAATGTTAATGAGCTCTGCTGACCCCGCCCCTCTCTTCGGAGCTGCTCAGAGAGACTGTTTACTTTAGACGCATTCATTGTGAAACTTGCTAATTAGCACGTTATTAGAAAAGGCGATTTGCAAAGATTCATTACAAAACATTATACTCACTTCTTCTGTAGATGAGGCTGGATCATGAATGATTCGCGCAAACATAGACGCATTTATGTAGATCGGGGGAGCATTCCCTTCAGAAACAAATGTAATCCACTGCAAGTTCAGCGGCTCAGATGTCGGGAGTAAATGACGACTGCTATGTTCATTATCACATCCAACAACAGAACACCTCAATCGCCTAGGAGTCATTCTTGTCTACATCTGCTCCAGCGGTGAAACAAATGTATTGTTCCATGTTCGTTTGTATACCGCGCAAGGTTTATGCGCATAGTCCAAGTCGTCTTCTCCGTTTTTAGTGTATCTCTGTGGCAGAATTACAGCACCACATACTGGTCTGGCATGTATACTACATCGTTTTGTGTCGGTTTCGTGGACGCAGATATTTCTTGAGCCGAGGAGAAAAAAAAGATCGGATAGGGAAAGCTCTGGCTTCGTGTGGACGTAGTCTTAATTCATTCTTGCTGAATAAAAGTATTAATTTATTTCAAAAACTGACCTTAAACTTTTGAATGATAGTCTAAGTTTTAAAATAAACATTAAATAACTAACATTAAACAAATCTTATAGCTGACACTTTTATCCAAAGCGACTCAAAGTACACTTAATACGCTATTCCCTCTGAGGTTAAAAGTCTTGCTCAAGGGCACAATGGTTAGATATGAGCTGAAAGTTGCAACTTTCCCATTATCAGCTCAAAACTTTACCCACTATGCTAAGCCTACATAATTGCACCAATAATGATAATAAAAAATTAATTAGAAAATTGAAACAGATGGAAACAATGTAAATATTTAGCTTTTTTTATTTTTACATCAGTGCCTCTCATTCTCTTGCTGGATGCTTTAAACCACCTGTATGCAACAGCTCAAACAATTCACTAAACATAACGACATGTGAAATGCAACAAACATCAGAGTAAACAGGGCGAGAACTTGTTGTCAGAGTAGAAATGCCATTTCCTATTGGAGACTGACAGTCTGTGAGGTCAAGTCCACATGTTTGAGGTCTCAGCTCTCATCTGCCTCTAGATTGATGTTGTTTCCAAACTTGGCATATAACTGAACCTTCAAATCTCCAAGCAGCCCCTGTATGGATGACACACGGCCCTCCAGAGCTTTGATCTCATCCTGCAGAGCTTCCTGTGGAGACCAGAATATAAGTATGGAAATGTTGAGCGCTACAACCAGGCTTCAAAACAAACACTCGGCAAAGTACAAATCGGTTTTGCAAAGCAAAGAACGTTAGACGCCAGTTGGCCGGTAACTTGTTCAGGGATTGCAAAAATTAGATCAAAAATTCCAATAAAAGAAAAAAATATCCTTTTACATCTAACAACTCTGTATATAGTCAGTTTTTTTCTTGCTTGATGGTTTTGCGTTAGGTACTTGTATTCAATTGTAACTCGATTTGTGCTAATACTAGTCAAATCTGTATATTGAATAATATGTGTTAAATAACAGGGCAGCCCAGACAGAAACTACAAGAGTTAATGTTTAATAAAATGCTAGATAAAGTTACCAAAATACCAATATTAACCAGGAAAAAAAGCAACAACAAAAAAAACTTTTCATTATGAACAATCCTGAAATACACTGGGACTTTTATTTTGAAATGTCTATGCTTTACTATTATTAGCTACTTGTTCAGAAAAAAAGAGGGAGATAAAATACACACTCTTTACAACCATCTACAACATAAACACCATAAAGAAAACATTATCATATTTCATCAACAGTCGATAATAATCAATCTACTGACATAATGTGCAGTTTTCATTGATTGCATACTTTGAAATATACAGTGCTTTTGAAGTTTAATAAGCATATTAGGCTGTATGCCCAAATTTGAGACCTCTTAAAATGATTAAGATGTTTGTTATACAATTTAAGATATTTAAGACTTTTTAAATACCTGCAGGTAGGCATGGGCTGGTATGAGATTTTGACGGTATGATAACCTTAAGCAAAAATATCACGGTATCATGGTATTGTCGTTACAGCTCTAAAATGTGTTATTTTTAACTGACTGGGTAAAAAAAAAATGTTTCCGCTGAACACAATATATTTTGTTTTTGAGCAACATACAGAATATTAGGGACAGTAGAATTTGTTAATTTTTTCTTTGATTTGTTTCCTAAAAAGAAGAAAAATAAAGACTGATATCTTTATTTAACCTAAATCTGTAATTACAGTTATTTAATTTTAGTTATATAATTCATATACATATAA